TTTTTTTTTTTTTTTTTTTTTTTTTTTTTTTTTTTTTTTTTACTGATTTCTCAAACAAGGTCAGTCTGTGCTGTGATTTCTTAAGAAAGTTTTTTTTTTTTTTAAAGTATTTTTTTTTCTTTGTTTGGGTAGGATTCTCACGCTAGAACTCACAGTCAAGGAAAAGATAGTTGGGAAGTCTCCGAGATGTCTGTGAGGATTTGGGGGACCAGGGATCCAGGTGGGTGTTGGTGGTGAAGTTGAGCCAAGAAGGCTGAAGTCTTCTTACTTTACCCAAAGAATCTCTGCAATGTGCGAGGGGAATTCCACGCCAGAAATGCTGGGAGAATTTTAACATATCAAACACAAATAACAGCGACATGCAGATGGCTCGCTTGTGAGGCAGCCTTGTGCAGCGCTGGGCATCCTCCATGCCTGCGGTTTTCCGAAATCTCCTAAGTATATACTCGGGATTAAACTTGCTCTCTGCCTTTCCAAGGCTTGCCCTTCAGTCCGAAACCCTCTCAGGCTCAGGTCCCATCAGGGGAACCCAAGGCCAGCTCTAGAGCCATTTAGGATTTTCTGTGGCTCAATTAAGCCTGTGCAGTGCCCCACAGCCGCAGAGGGCTGTTTATTCAGTGAAAGTGCTCTGTAATTTATTTAAAATAATCCATCTTTCACAAATAAAGGGGCCATTGATGGCCCTCCACCCACCCCCAGGCAGGCCTCCATGCAAGGACCCCTCTTGACAGTGGGCTTTGCTGGTCACAGCTTAAATGGCTGACAGAAGTGATCCAGGCTTATTAATTCTTTCTTTCTTTTTCTTAACTTTTTTTTAAAAAAAATCTTGGGGTTTTACGAAACTGCCTTACTTTCTTTCATACTAATAATCACTATGAGGCTTCAGTCCCCCTGTCTTTTAAAAAATTCATTTTTAAAATTAAGGGAGAGAGAGAGAGAAAAAAGTAGAGTTTGGCTATTAAAATGATTAATGCCAGCCAATTTGATAATCGCCGGGTAGAGGTGCCAGCCGTTCTGGGGTTTAGGGCGGCCTGAGACCCAGCTTCTTTATAGCCCCGGGCTAATGAGTAGCCACATTAGGGCCTTTTTACTCTCTATGAACTGATTGACCGAAAATGAGATTGCGTCCGAGGGTGACACCCATGACAAAAGGTTCTTTCTTCTCCACAACTTCCAGTACCCGGGACACCACTTGTGTTTAAAGACGGGCCTTTCTCCTAGAACTCCAGAAAAAACATTGGATGGACCTAAGCAGCACTTACACAGAAGTCCGGTCACTCGTGGAGACTCGTCAGAGGAGGAAGAATGTGATCTTGGGACCAGCATTAGGGGCTCTGGACTGGACAGGTCTGAGTGTGAAGCAGGCCAGGACCCAGAGCTGTGCTTGCTGAAGTTGGAAACTTTTCTTTCCTTTCATTTTTTTTTCTCTTCCATCCTTTCTTCCAGATGAACCACAGATATGAATCTTGTTTATCAAGCTTTGTGTGTATGTGTGTGTATGTCACTGGTCAGTGAACACAAGGCTTATACTTTAGTTTTTCCCTTATGATATTGAGAATTTCATACATGTATGAAATATGATCATATCTACCCTTGCTTCCCTTTTAATTTCCACCTATGGCACCCAGAACACTATCTTCCCAACCTCATAGCTATTCCTTTTTCTTTTGAAACCCACTAGGTAGTTGCTGTCTATATGTGCATGGGCTTGGGGCCCTTCACAGGAGCATGAGAAACCTACAAGTGATCACGTCCTCAAAAAAGGATGTTTCCTTGGCTGATCTATTGGGAGCTCACCAAAGCCAGCTGGACTGTGACTGAAAAAGCATGGGATAAAACCGGACTCTCTGATCATGGCGAACAATGAGGACTGATGAGAAGCCAAGGTCAA